CAAATCATCAACATCTTGCATAAAGAAAATTAAAACGAATAAGATTAGGCATACAACGTAAAATATAAGCAATTGCACGACTGTCACATACAGCAAAAATTGTTAAATCGAAAGATCTCATTTGTAGTGATATAGGAAGATCATTTTCATTAATAGGTGGCGTTTCAATTAAAACACTAAAAGAAAAAGAATTTGATTTTTAATCTTATCTTATACAGATTTTCCTTTAATATTTTCCTTGCAACTTCCTTTACATTATTATTTTGAAATAGAACTTCATGTTTTATTATCGTATGTAGATATCTTATTCTATAACAAACACGAAGAATTGACAAAATCGAATTAAACGGACAGTGTATTATGTGAGACAAACATTAACAAATTAATTGATGTAGTATTCGAAACAATTGAAATATAATTTGATACATCTACGTAATCATAAGGATATTTAAGCACAACTGAACGAAGATAAGATGACTTGTGCATCAATATAGTTCGAGTTAAATCCCACTTGTCGTTTTCATTCATATTTTTCTCATTTGGTTGTTTGATCGCAAATGAAATAAGTCTATTTCAACTTTCAACTTGTTTAATAACATTTTCAAGTTTAGTTGATGGATTAACCGACATGAATATACATGATTGAAGATTAGTAAATTGATGTTGATTAAATAGTAAACTGATACTAGATGAACGATCACGAATTGTATCATAAATATATAGTGAGACGACTTGATGAGCATGAAAAGTGAGATGAGAAGAAAGAAAATAGATTTCTCGATCAAAATGACTGTTTAGGATGATAACATGAAGTGGAATTGATTGTAGAATAGACAAAATTCGTGTATTCAATGAAGTAAGAGCATGTAAATAATCAAATATTTCGAAGAAAATCTCATTTGATAAATCTTCTAAATGGGTAGGTGTATCCATGTGTATAAATGACGAGAATAAAAGATGGTAATAGTCACGTGGTTCAGTTTATTCTGTGTAGAGAATGTATCAAATAATAGAGAAATCGATAGATAATATGTTGTGGATATCGAGTGGCATCTATACATGTAATTTTACAGCTGTCTGCTCATCTATTCGTAGACAAGAAATAATTCAACAGTTTTTGCTCTAAAAAACCAAGCTGCTTTTTCTTTTTCCCACCGGTTAAACATCCAAAAGAGACTTTGCTTTGATTTAAGCTCTTGTTGAAAAATAAATGATATAGGTGACGCTACTAATTAGAATTAAACATTCTATGTTATGTGCGGTAAACATGTTGTTGGTCGACAAATTTTTGTCGAAAGAACATTTCGTCGACAAAGTGCTTCATCGATTGTAGCATATCAAAAAAGTTACTTATAACCAGAGTTGCCAGGTATAAGAAGGAGAAATCCGGAATTTGTTTTCCAAGTCCGGAAAGAGTTACGAAAGTAAGCTTTCATCGATTTAAGTCCTGCTTTACTCTATTCAAATTATCAAGAACATTGTCCTTTATTTGCATAAAATGAATGTGGGTGTGGGTGTGGGTGTGGATGTGGGTGTGTGAGTGTGTGGGTGTGGGTGTGGGTGCGGGTGTAGGCGTGGGTGTGGCTGTCGGTGTGGGTGGTGCGGGTTTTGGTCTTGTCTTCATCCAGACCCACACCCACACCCACACCCACACCCACACCCACACCCACAC